GGGAATAAAGACATGTTGTTTGTGCGTCTTTGATACTTTGCGTCCCTTATTCCAGGGATTTTTGGATGTTTCCTTTTGTCGGCTGGTTTTGGATTGATTTTTTTTTTGGCACCCAGCCGCCATCAGATACAAAACCTGAGGTTCCAACCTGTCAAGGTATCTGTCGAGGTAATAAGCAGATCTAGCTACTCCGGCCTCAAGACTTGAGCAGAAAAATTGCAGAAAAATGCAGTTTTACACCCCAGAGTTTCCAACTTACCGATGAGCTGGTTCCAACTTACCGAAGGGGGGGTCGGTAAGTTGGAACCCTTTGGAGCCACAAAACTGGTGCTTGGCAGCCCTTTGGGAGCTTTGGGAGCTACAAAACTGATGCAAAAATGGTGAGAAGCAGAAATTTTCTGGTGGAAAACTAGACAAAACAGTGGAAAAGTATCATCGTGAAAAAGATTGCCGCACAAAAGAAACTACAAAACTGGTGCTTGGGAGCCCTTTGGGAGCTACAAAATTGATTCAACAATGGTGAGAAACAGAAATTTTCTGGTGGAAAAATTGGATAAAGCAGTGGAAAAGTATCATCGTGACAAAACTGTGCTAACCAGAGGTTTCGTGGTGGAAAAAATGGAGAAAATCATGAAAGGGAATGTTTTTCCAGTACAAAACTGGTGCAAACATCGAGAAACCAGCAAACGATAGCCAAAATATTGAAAAATGTGCAAAATACAGTGTAAAATGATAGCAAACTGTTACATATGGATTTCCTCCCTTTGAGCCGCTGCGTTCCCAAACGTTGCAGCTGGCACACATTTTATCGGCAGGATTTTGAAGACCAGTGCTGGTAGTCAACACATCTGTCTACCCTTCAGGAGTGATCATCCTGAATAACATTCATCACCATTCCGAGGCTGACCAAGATCACACAAACAATAAAAAATCAATGTGTTTTTGTGCCACCCTGTCCTGGAGCTTCCATTTAGTTGGATCGGTCGTCTTCTTCACCCTTCGCGGCATAGAGTTGCTGCGCAGATGCTTCCAAATAGAGTCCTGTGCAGGGTCACCGGGGGGAGATGTTAACAGGATTCAGCCTTCACAAACATTGGTGTTTTTTGAACATTGCAACATAGAACAGACAACAAACTTAATAAGTATCACCATATCACGACCAGAGTAAGAATCATATTATTGCAACATATCTAGTATGGCTTGGGATGCTATATGATGGTGTCATGTTGTATGGTATATAGCATGTGGTATGGTATATAGCATGTGGTATGGGAACTTGCAGGAGTTTGCAACCTGTCACTCACTGCTGAAAAAAAACAATTTTATTATGTGTGTTTGGCCCTCCCCCTGCCGAGGAGGGCCCAGTGTCACAAGATGGAACCTCTTTCCTTGAGAGGCACCACCTTTTGTTTTCAAATGATGATCCTCGCATTTTTTCCAGATTTGCGGCCCTCTTTGGCCACCTTCTCTCCTCCAAATCAATTGGCAGGAGGTTCCAACCTGTCACTGCTAAAGAAATCAGAGTTATCATGTGCGTTTGGCACTCCCCCTGCTGAGGAGGGCCCAGTGTCACAAGATGGAACCTCTTTCAGAGGCACCACCTTTTTTTTCAATTGATCACCCCTGCTTTTTTCAGATTTGTAGCCCTTTTTGGCCACTTTTTCCCAAATCAACTAGCCAACCTGTCACTGCTGAAAAAAACATTCCCCCTTGCCGAGGAGGACCCGGTGTAAAAAAATGAGACCCTGCATGGAAATTTGTATTCAAATCACCAATCATCAAGGTTGTTTTCTTGAAAATTTGTTTCAAATGGTTTAGTTGTTTTCAAGCTCATTTTCAAGCTCAACAAGCGGGAGGTTCCAACCTGTCACCACAAAATAATCAAGGTTGTCATGTGTGTTTAGCCCTCTCCCCTGCCGAGGAGGGCCCAAATGAGACCTGCTTCTCTCTTTGAGAGGCCCACTTGCATGGAAATAAAAAATCACCCAGGTCGTTTGTTTGAAAATCCAACCTGTCACCGCAAAATAATCCAAGTACACATGCGTGATTTAAATGTCCGTCCTGCCCCCCCCGCTGGGTCTGGCATTCATGCAAAAACAAATCAAGTAATGATTTCAACATCAACTGGTGCAACAAAAATCAGACCATATACTCTCACAATCAAGTCCCAAAAATCATTACTGTTGTTCAGAAAAGAATTATGGAAATTCATTTCATGATTCCCTTTCTCACTCAGAACTTCCCTCAAAAAGTGACTATTTCAAAATCCATCATGATTGATTGGTTCATACTTTATGATAAAATTAATTAAAGCACCATCATGTCCCCAATCACGCACACAGCCCATCCCATCAGCCCTGTCCCACCAGCTTACCATCCAAATCCTCCCAGGTTAAAGAACCAGGCATGAGAAGCCAGCCTGCCACACAAACAAAATAAAGTACTAGCCTGCCAATACTTTGAGCCATCATGATTTGAGCCATCATAACTTGAGCCATGGGCGATGCCCTTAAATATATAACATTTTTTTTCTTCGCATTGGTCGTGCTAAGACTTGAGCCAGGGCCAAATTATTTACCCCTTCCCATTTTTTCTTCTTTCAGTGCGCGATTGGTCAGTAAAATTTGAGCCAAATCATGGTCAGCATAGATGTCAGAACGGAATTTATGTCAGACTACAGGATTTGAAGAAAAATCAGGAAAGCAGCCAAAACAGGGCACATAGGGCACATAGTTAACAACAGCAAGACACAAAACGCCGCTTCAACGTCCAAAAGTGGCGCGAACATCTGGTATTTTGTACATTATGACTTCGACATGTGCTTCGTGCCGCAACGGCGTGCACTTTTTCATCACCTCAACTTCCAAAAGTGTTCTGAACGTGGTGTGTTTTGCGCACTTTGACTTCGAAAAGCGTGCGCGCCGCCACAGCGTACACTGTTTGAACATCTCAACTCCCAAAGGTGACCTGAACGTGGTGTGCTTTGCACATTTTGACTTGGAAATGTGCTTCGCGCCACAACGGCGTGCACTTTTTGAACATCGCAACTTCCAAAAGTGCTCCGACAATGACGTGCTTTCTACATTTTGACTTCGGAATTCGCTTCGCGCCGCAACGGCGTGCAATTTTCATCTCTTATCTCCCCAGATGGCTCCGCACCCGCCGCTTTAGCGAGCCTACTTTTTGATCTTCTAGAGCCACAAATCATTGGAAAAACAGTGAATCACGACTTTTCTACCTTTTCGCGCACCTGCATGTTCTTTCTTCTGACTCTTTCTCTTCTCTTCTCTTCTCTTCTCTGACTCTTCCCACCTCTGCTTTTTCATCTGTCCATATTGTCGGAAATGTGACTTCTAAACTTCCTTCGATTACGTAATATGGTAGTATAATGATATTTTCCAACATCTCTGGGTGGTTTTTTTGCGTTCCTGCTGCTATCCCCCCAACCTTCTCCTCTGCCGGCGCCCCCTCCTCCTCTCAGTCACTCTCTCTCTCTGTCTCTATCTCTGTCAAACACTTTACACTTTACACTCCGCACTTTCCACTCCCCTTTTTTACACTTTACACTGCGCACTCCACACTTTACACCCCACACTTCAAACTTTACACTCTACACTTTACATTTTACACCCCACACTCTAATTACACCGTACACTCCGCACTCCACACTTTACACTCCACTCCACACTTCACACTCCACACTCCATCCTTCACATTTCACACTTTACACTCTACACTTGACACTTTACACTCCACACTCCACACCCTTTCACTTTACATTTTGCACTCCACACTCTACACTTCACACTTTCCACCCCACACTTTACCCTTTACACTCCACAATTCCCACTTCACACTCTACACACTACATTCCCCATTCAACACTCCACATTCTTCACGCTCCACACTTGGAACTTTACCCCCTTCCACATTCCACAGTCTACAGTGCACTGGTACAGTAACAGGGCAGATAAAGTGCACAAGGCTGTTCAAAAACTTCCCGGCGGGTGGGAAACCGCGCTAGCGGTTAAGCACTTTTTGAAAGAAACTCTTCTGGCGCTGTGGTGCCGTACTCATTTTTAGACCGACAGTACCTTAAAATTTCCCGGGGAAAATAAAGTGACTTTGAAGGAATGATGTGGTATCTGGTATTTACAGGAACTTGACACTGCACCTTTGGAAATTTTCCACATACCATCGATACCACCGGTGTGCACAAGCAAGGTACCCCATTTCTTTCTTCTCCTTGATGCAAAAGATGCCCTTACTATGATTGCAAGATTCATGAATCAGATTATTTTCAGAGGTGATTTTGGGGTAGCATGGGGCACCGTCTGTCACCAAGATGCTTTTGCGACCATGCTTGTGGGTCGTGAGCACACATTTCAAAGCATCACGTCTGTACGCAAGTCACATGAACGTTATTATCCCACCCCACCCCACCCAACCCCCAACGACTGACGTAGCGCCAGCATAGCATCACGTGTGTACGCAAGTCACATGAACGTTATTATCCCACCCCACCTCACCCAAACCCCACATTCAAAAAGTAGCACGACTACACGCGCGGTTTTCCACCCGCTAGCAAAAACTTGTTTCACAAAAGTGTTTTATGTGACTGCATTCGGGTTTGTTGGTTTCTCTTGTTTTTCTTTTGTTTTTTCCTTCTCTCTCTCTCTGTCAAATACTTGTTTTGTCCTTTCTCCCTTTCTCCCTTTATTTAGGTGACGCCAGGGTTCAGGACTACCCCGCTTGCGGGGTTGTTTCCAAATATTTCTGAAATGAGAGAGGAGACTTCAGGTTGCCGGTCCCAGGTCCAAAATTGTTGATCAATGGTTCCAGATCTCAAAACACAATGTTGACAGAGGAAAAAAAACAGGAGAAAAACAGCAAAACAATGACACGAGAAAACGGCTCACATTATGTCAGGGGGCTTACGGCCCCGAGGTGACCATTACTTCCAATCCATTTGTGCCAGGCAATTGGTGCTCAAGAAAGCCATGACCCCCCGGCCGCCCATGTGGGGCTCGCCGATCTTGTTGCATCCGCCGGTCCGGCCCTCTGCAGCAGGCACCGCATCATGGGAATATCGTGGACGTTTGGCCCGGTTCCAGGGCAACTTTCCGGAATGTTTTACGGCTTGTGTATCTTATCAAGTTAACTTTGTCTTGTGACGTCATGTTGGGCCGCATGAGTTTACACTTGTCTTCCACTTGTGTCCCACACTTGTCTCCGACTCAGGGTGTCTTGGAGCGCATGAGTTTACACTTGTGTCCCGCTTGTCCCCCACTTGTCTCCCACACTTGTCTCCCACTCTGGGTTCCTTGGGCCGCATGAGTTTACACTTGTCTCCCCCTTGTCTCCCACTCTGGGTTCCTTGGGCCGCATGAGTTTACACTTGTCTCCCCCTTGTCTCCCGCACTTGTCTCTCACTCTGGGTGCCTTGGGCCGCATGAGTTTACACTTGTCTCCCACTTGTCCCTCACACTCGGGTGCCTTGGGCCGCATGAGTTTACACTTGTCTCCCACGCTTGTCTCCCACTCTGGGTGTCTTGGAGCGCATGATTTTACACTTGTCTCCCACTTGTCTCCCACACTTGTCTTCCACACTTGTCTCCCACTCTGGGTGCCTTGGGCCGCATGAGTCTCCCACTTGTCTCCCACACTTGTCTCCGACTCAGGGTGTCTTGGAGCGCATGAGTTTACACTTGTGTCCCGCTTGTCCCCCACTTGTCTCCCACACTTGTCTCCCACTCTGGGTTCCTTGGGCGGCATGAGTTTACACTGGGTTCCTTGGGCCGCATGAGTTTACACTTGTCTCCCTCTCCCACTCTGGGTGCCTTGGGCCGCGTGAGTTTACACTTGTCTTCCACTAGTGTCCCACACTTGTCTTGGAGCGCATGAGTTTACACTTGTCTCCCACTTGTCTCCCACACTTGTCTCCCACTCTGGGTGTCTTGGGCCGCATGATTTTACAGTTGTCTCCCACTTGTCCCTCACACTTGGGTGCCTTGGGCGGCATGAGTTTACACTTGTCCCCCCCTTGTCTCCCACACTTGTCTCTCACGCTGGGTGCCTTGGGTTGCATGAGTTTACACTTGTCTCCCACTTGTCTCCCGCACTTGTCTCCCACTCTGGGCGCCTTGGGCTGCATGATTTTACACTTGTCTCCCACTTGTCCCTCACACTTGGGTGCCGCGCATGAGTTTACACTTGTTTCCCACTTGTCTCCCACACTTGTCTCCCACTCTGGGTGTCTTGGAGCGCATGGTCTCCCACTTGTCTCCCACTTGTCTCCCACATTTGTCTTCCACACTTGTATCCCACTCTGGGTGCCTTGGGCCGCATGAGTCTCCCACTTGTCTCCCACACTTGTCTCCCACTCCGGGTGTCTTGGGGCGCATGAGTTTACACCTGTCTCCCACTTGTCTTCCACACTTGTCTCCCACACTTGTCTCCCACACTTGTCTCCCACACTTGTTTCCCACACTTGTCTCCCACTCTGGGTGCCTTCGGCTGCATGAGTTTACACTTGTCTCCCACTTGTCTCCCACACTTGTCTCCCACTCTGGGTTCCTTTGGGCGCATGGGGCAGGGCGGGCAATAAATGCAGGGAAGGATGCCGAAATGATATCCTTTGCCGCACAGTAAAATATAATTGAAATTTTCTACATCTGTTTGGGGTCAATGCTGGTATCATTTTTTGTAAAGCAAAGCAGCTCTTACAATACACAATATTTGTTTCAAAGGAAGTGAGATATCATAATTTACCAAGAGGTATATAGTATTAATGCAATGGACCGAGGAAGATGACAATAGTTTCAGGTTATTATTATTTTCAATCCCACGATAATAATTTCCATTCCATACAGTCCAACACATCAGGATAAAATATGATGTCATATTTTTCCGCCTTTCTACACAGGTGGGAAATGGGAACTCTATCATCCCTTGTTCCGAAAAAGAATCGCTGTTAGGGTTAAAACATAGGAATTCCCACATCTGTGTTGCCACATGGCAGGTGCATTGCCGGCATGGCCTCGGCGGCTGCAACCAAGCATCTGTGCAGACCGACCCTTGCTGCCACAATGTAATGGCTTCCGGCAACGTGGGTCTATTCCTTGTCCAGGCAGCGACTGTTTCATCAGCTTCTTGCAGTTGAACGACCGAACTTGCGATTGTCCCGGTTGCACAGACGAGGAGATGGGGAGATGTTTGTGGAAGTACGGGGTTCGGGACGGTTCAAAAAGTCGCTGGTAGGGTGCTTCTTTAGAGGCAGCCTTAGATCATTAGATCATTGTCAGTGACATCGAGATCAAAACGAGAAAACTGAGATTCTCACGGTGCAGGGATTTTTTACGGAACCAAATGAAATTATTGAGTTTTAGATGATCCTCAGCGAGCCGGTGTGCATGGAAACCTTCCCTTTCCTCAACCAGCTTTGGAGGTTTCTGTCAGTTTCAGCGTGGAACCTCACAAGCAAAGATGCCATACCTTCAATTTCTTGCAAAACAACAGTTTTCCCACATGAAATTGATTTTTGAGGTCAAAAAAATCGTCGAAAAGGACCAACGTCTCTCCTTTACACCAATCTTAGTATTCATAGCGATCTCAAACACCATGATTGATTTTCAAGATGAGAAAACCATAGAGAACAGGTTTCCAAGACTAGTGGTGCATGTTGTTTCCAGGTACCCCAAAATGCGCAAACCTCTTGAGACGTCACGATCGGTACAAAATTCCAGGACGCCTTCGAATGTGACTCTTGTGTCCCTAAAGTGCCATTCGGACCCACCGTGGCAGCTACCCAGAGCAACCTCGGAGTGGCGGTAGGCAGGGGTGGGATATTGTGGGATCCATGCTCTTCCCCAAAGCTCTAAGGTTCCAAAATCCAGGGTTGGGGCGGTTGGGGCGGCTGGGGCGATCGTTTTGCCATAAACAAAGCATCGGCCCAAAATTATCCTAGAGAATCCAAGATCAATGGTTCTGTTATGTTCTGTTGATTTTGTTTGAGACTTTTGATGTACAACTTCTATACAGGACACCCAGAGCATGTAATATATGTAAATCGATGTAAATTGCATTTTTGATTTAATGTCACGTAATTACTATATGTATCTATATGTCGTGGTCTGTGTGTTATTTATTGTCTTGGCCTGTGTGTGGATGCATACTGTACATACGGATGCCTACCAATATGCATCTTTACATGCATGTGTGTATTTCCCAGTATCCCAAATCATCCATGTATGGCATGATCTATAGCAACCCTCAAAAAGATAGAGCCATCTTTTCTATCTGCGGGTGACCATATCATACCATGTGGTACACCTGCGACCCATGGCAGGTGTGAGTTTGGGCGTGGCCGTGGGCGTCGGCTTGGGCGTGGGCCTAGGCGTCTCGGCTGCCTTGGGCGGTGTCTTCTCAGCAGTGGGCGTGGTGCAATTCACGGTAGCCAATGCAGAGGAGTTCATCAACAATCCACAAGTTCAGTGGCTGGGCCTGAAAGATGTTGGATGGCTTGGCTTTAAGATTAAGTGATTGCAGTGATCGATTGTGATGTATTGTCAAATTGGACAGGAACATTCCAAGTGTTTGAACCGTTGAACCCTTGACATACTGAAGTTGGTTTTCGTGAGATTGGTGCTAGTTTAGAACATCAGTCCATGACTTCATGGCGACTTTGGGGGTAACCCCGTGCGCGACTTCCAAAAACGGTCCGATGGCGCCTACAAGGGCTACGCAAAAAATTGGGGGCCTGGAAGGTGTGTTTCCGGGCAGAGCTGCGAAAATGGCTGGGGAAAAAAATGAACCCTGAGGCTTTTCTCTAAGAATTTTCTCTGTCCCCTAGATTCACCTACTGGTGTGATTCATCTTGTCCCATTTTTGCAGCTCACTTCGACATTTTTCAATCGCGTTTCCTTCCCAGGCAGGGCCTGAAGAAAGCCTTCCTGCGCCTAGCGGGTCTGGCCATCGCAGAGAGTGCCGTGACGCTGAACTGGGCCTGCGCCGGTGATGCGCTGGCGAAGATCAACAGCAAACTGCGACGCCTGGCGGAAGCCGTGCGCTTGTGCTTCGAGATCGAAATCGAAGGCCTTTCCGGTGAAGGGCGGATGATGCGGATGTGCACATGGTACATATCCCATTATATCCCAGCTATGTTTTGACGTAGCCATCAACCCTGGATGTTCATCCAAGAGAATTTAGGCTCAAGAATGGGTGAAGGGCAGTTTTTCTACTTGTTTTGGTCTGGACTCGACTTCAGCCTGATTCCGGAGAGAACGAAAGTGCAACCCTGGGAGCCTTCATTTTTTCAAGGGTATATATTCCATTATATTCCCAAATTAGGCTACGAAAAGCATGACTATCTGACTATCTCTGGGATAACTTGATTTTTCCCTTGAAATCATGGGGTTTTCCCAGATTTTCCCACCTTTTCGCAGCATTTTTCCAGGGGAGGAGAAGAGCCTGGATGCCTGCGAAGACCTGGCGGGCACCTCCAGCGGCACCGCGGGGCGCGTCATCAACGAGGAGCTAAGCGGCACCGCAGCTGCGGCCTCCGGCAGTGTCCAGGTGGGACCCAGTGGATGTCGGGGATAGGACCCTGATAGGTAGTGGTTATACCTGGGATTTTTCGAGTGCCTAGAAATGTCACCATGAAATAACTAGAGGTATACTTAGGTTGGTTTTCATGGTGACATGAAAAAGACCAGCTAAGATCTAAGAATCATTTCTGTGGGTATCCGTCAGACATGATCAAGGGATGGTAACGAATGAAAGGTGCAGCTTGAAGTAGGAGACAACATCAAATGAAAATGAAGGATGCAACTGGCCGGAAGCATATTGCTACTAAGTCCGTTGTGAACAGGACTTCCGATTTTCACGCTCTCCTCCAGAAGAAGGGGATTCTTCGTTTCAATCATCGACTCAGCCCATCAAAAATATTTTGGCCTGGTGAGTTCAGGCGCAATTCCCTAAGTGACAAGTCCATGTTTCATCCATTTCAGGCTTGCATTCATGTGGATCACCACCGGCCCCAGCGCACCACAGTTGACTCCCAAAAATCGTTCCGCGGCCAGGTGGTGCAGTGGTCTGCCAACCCCAATCCACTCTCCAAGGACCCTACGCGGGTGGCTCCCTCAAACACTTTCGCCGCTCCCAAAGCCGTGGCTTTCGACCCAGGGAATTTCCCTCCGGGTCTGACCGGGCCGGCCGCGCCAGCCGAACCACCACCCGTCAAGCGCTGATGCTTCGGCTTGTGAAAGGGGTTCTGCCGCCTCCCCTTGCCCTGTGGCTGCACAAAGTTGCACGCGACTATAAGGCAGTCAGATCAGACGCAGTCTGGCTGCCAGATTATCAAGGGTCCTAGGGTTGAGGCTTTTGGCAATGTATATATAATTAGATTTGTGCAATCGGCAGCAAGGAATAGAACCTTTGTCCGCCATGAAATGAAAATGAAACTGTGCAAAAGTTTTCTCTTTGAAGATGTGTGAGGACATTGTGAGGACGATAATTTCTCTTGGTCGGCTGCATTGCGCGCAAAGAGCATGTGAGGCTATCAGTTGGATGTTGCCCTCCATTTGAATGACCAGAATTGAAAGCAATAGTGAACGTACCCTGGGCCATTGTGGAACTTCGCAACGCAGAATGTGAGCAGCCGATTCACACATAGTCACATAGTGATGAAATGTCCAGGATGAATCAACCCTGGCTGAAGATAAGGTGGTTACTCCCAAAAAGTGACATAAAGTGACAACTCCCCAGCAAAATGGATTTTCAGCCCTGTGGGTCTACACATGTGCACATGTTGGTCGTTTTAGTTTCAATATGTTTCAATTAATGGGTTTCCAGCCTCTAGTGACTCTAGTGCTTCTTTACATCAATGACGCGCCGTATTGTTTGCCAGGCAGTGATCTTCAAGAGTTCCTCAGGCAGGAGAATAATTTCACATGGAGAAATTCAAGGCTGAAGATTTCACTGCCAGGGATGTTTCAGATTTCACCTGAGGGCTTAGCGGCTTGACATTTCGTCCATGTTTGGCTCTGATGCCACACCAACTTGCGAAGTTGGGACATTCATAAAATGCATGGCATGACGTTCTTGACGTTTTTGACGCCCATAAATAGATGTTATATAATTTCCAATCTTTCCACACCACCATGTGTAATATATGTAACATATTCATACATACATCAACATACATCAAAACACTTCAACAATCCACATCTTCCCATACTTCCTGTATACTGTCGTATATCCTGTCACCTCCGCCATGGCCTCGGACGGCGGCGATGGTCCCAAGGACGACCCCGAGACCTGGTCCCTTCCCACCGTCCTCGGCGTCCGGACCTCCGAGCGCTCCCCGGAGCGGTCGCAGCGGCTCTCCGCGTCGCGGCCCGCGCGGCCCGCGCCGCCCCGGGGCGGCAGCGGGGGCGGCAGCCGGGGCGCTTTGACGGAGGACATGGCGGAAATTGAGGCCGAACTCTTGAGAGGAGTGAGTTTGAGTACTGCCTTGAATGGATTGGGTTTCTTGGAGCTTGAGAATTTTGCTCGTTTATTCACAATTGTTCATATTTATTCAAATTTTCATTTTCTGTTCTGAAACCGTGTGAAGACTATAATTTTAACTTGTTGTATGTTCTGTTTTCACAGGAACAACTGAACGAAAACATCTTCCAGGAAAGCACTGGAAACTTCCATCTTTGACCAGCATGTACGAGATTCAGCAAAAGAGCGCCTACAAATTGAGCTTCGAAGTGGCAGCATTTCATCATTTCTTGAGCCACGATTGGCAGCTCGGACTACAACAGCTGCTGACATTTTGAATGATTTTGTAGGACCAAGTGACTGCTACCTCAGATGATTGTCAGCTTTTGAATGGAACATATTGGGGCACAAGCCTTCCCCATCATTCCGGTATCATTCCGGTCAACCACTGATTGCTATTCGAGATGTATAGATTTCACAGAGGAACTCCGTGTGCGTTTTTGATGTTTCCCAAATTACTTGGACGGTTCCTAATGAACTGCATCTTTTCGGTTAGGGCAGAGATGTTTTCACCAAAGTTTGGGAGGAAAACCAGCCGCTGGGCCAAGTATTGGTCAATCCTGATCCTCTTCAACCTCCGTGCAGCTACCATTGCCACTTTTCTGGCGGCCGTCTTGGTGGGTTTCTACATTGGGCCACAACCCGTGCCTGTTTCATTGCACAGTCTAAGCATCATGGCGCTGAAGAAAGGGGTGTTGTTATACCATCCTGAATGTTTGACAATCAAGAAACGTCTGCATCAGAGAATACTTGCAGGGATCAGCTAGAGGATATCAGATGGGCGCACTAGCTGCCCCCAGGTATGGTCGCTGCGCGATTCCTGCCGTGGCTGATCTTCGTTTTCTCCCTCTGCTTCTGGCAGAGTCTGCGCAGCGTTTTCAGACGACCCTTGGTCGTGTTCGTTGACAAACTCTGCATCGCGCAGCATGACCCGGCGCTCAAAGCCAAGGGCATCCGGGGGCTGTCGACTTTCCTGGACAGATCGGAAGAGCTGACGATCTTGTGGTCCTCCAGATACTTCACCCGTTGCTTGGATGAATTTGCTGCATGTTGGCAAGTACTGGAGCGGTTTTTGTATAGCTAACACTGGGGAACAGAGGCCGTTTTGTGGCCAAAGGTGAAGGGTGGAATCTATGTGAAGAGGGTGTGCAAGGAGCTCCTGTCAGTTTGTTTCTCCCAAGAAGATGGGTGAGAAAACGCATGTCACTTTATCCAGGAAACCAAGGTACAAAATGAACTTAGTCTTACTTTGTTGTATATAATATACGTAACATTGCTCAGACTGTGGCTTGCGTTCCGGGCTCATCAGTTTTCCTTTTCTTTTTCATCTCATAAAAGGCGGTTCCTGCGAACAGTTTGAACCTGACATGGTCGTGCAAGTACTCCACCACTTCTGGAGATCCAAGCTGCAGCGAACACAATCCAGCGGCGTCCGATAAGACCACACCGTCCCATTCAACGAAGAAAAACATATTTCCGACTGACGAAAGGAGGTCGAAGTCAACCAGTCAACCTGTAGGGCCTGCAATCCCACCCCATTTTCAGTGCTGCGATATTTTGTAAACATTAGTTGTCGCCTTGGTGGCACAATTTCACAAGCATGAGTCTGCAGCATGAGTCTACTAACATCAGACCTGCGCTATAAAATTCCTCAATGCGTGGAACAGATCACAGTACGGAAGTTGTGTTGAAAAGAGAGGATGCACTGAGAACCATTTGAAAGATTTTGAAAGAAATGTGGGTTTGTCCAAGATGCTTCCTCCAAATATGGCAACTTGGCAATGGCTATCCATGGCTATCCGGGCTATCCGCCACCCACCAACAAACTCCCCATGACGTTTATCATTTGTTCAACCATCTTGGGCCGTGCGTTTGGGCCCCCTTGCCATTGCTTGGGTCGAAATTCGGCCATTCTCAGGTCTGTGGTGTGTCTATGAACTGGCCACTTTCCTCCGTCATGGCCAAGCACAGCAGGTGAAGCTGTTTCCCGTGGCTATGGCGCGGGTCTTGTTGGTCATTGCCAGCTCCAGTGTCCCTGTGACTTGGATTCAACTCATTTTGGCCGTTGAAACAGCTCCAGCCAAACTTGGATAAACTTGGATTCTGAGGCGAGAATCCTGGATGATTTCAACTACATTTTGGGATCTTCCGATATTTTCGCGGCTGTCATCCAATTTGCTTGTATCTTGCTGGTGCAACCGCTGATTCTTTACCTGTTGTTGGGTGTGATGGCCGACGTCCAGAACCTCGAGAAACAGTTCAAGGAATTCTCCATCCAAAAGTCACAATGTTTCTGCTGCACCAGTGATCATCGACATCCTGACACCGGTGAGACATTGATGTGCGACCGGAAGTTCGTCTATGAAGCTGTCAGAACCTGGTATGCAGCGGGGGCTGATGGAGACAATGGAGATTCAATACATTTTGAGAAATTCGACCAAGTCGTGCGAACCAGCTTGCGTAGCAGCGTCTTGGAAGGTGCTGAAACCGTGATCCTTCCCTTCAAAATCGTGTTTTGCCTGGCAGTTGTGAATCAAGCACCAGCTGTTGTTCAGATGATGACGTGGTCAGAGGCTGATATGCTGCGGTATGGTGTTCCTCCAGTGTCTGAAACAAGTTTCGCGCGATCTGTTTGGAGGGTAATCGCTTGGGTCTGCTTTGTTTGGGTGAAACAATTGGTCTTCATCTTAGTCGCCCGGATTTTGCTGAAGACGATTCTTTTGAACTTTTCCAATTGGTTCCAGATGTTCCAGATGTTCCACAAAACATTCCGATGAGGGGACGTAGTTGGGGAATCTTGTGAGATTTTCCAGATTTTCTTGGGAGAACTCCTAGGTCGATGCCGGCTTTTTATTTCGAATCTGCAAGTGGAGCTCCCACTTGCTGCGGATGTCCCGGCTGAAAGTGACACTGCTGGTGTCACCACTGCTGGTGTTGGTATCTTTAATTTACATCACCGCCATTGCCACATCATATGGAGATTTCATCGTTCCTTTTCACATCATGTTCGAATGGCTTCCAGTTGTGACAGCTGGATGGTGGTTGTTTATATCATGCTTGTACAGAGTGGGTCCCTTCAGCTGATACATTGGCTTTTTCAATGCGGTTTTGAACATGTTTCACCCAACCAAGATCCGGCCAAGCCGATTTGATGGTCCCGGGTTGAAAGCACCAAGCACTTGGATCACTTGGTAGGGGAGGATTTAGAACACTAACGTAAGAGAGTGCACATGGTCCTTTCTTGTGTGTTTGATTTTCAACAATATGCGCAGATAAAGCAATGAAACTGGATGTGTTTTTAGTGTTTGAATCCCCAGCTGGTCCTCACTTATGTTCATTTTTGCGAGTTGAAATCCCAAATGTCATTGCGCAATTTTGTTGGTTAAATCATGTTAAATCATTATTGCCAGTGACATCGCCATTGTTACCAGGTGAGAAGCTGGAGGGCGTGCAAGATGCCTTGAAAGGCTTCCAAGCAGCCAATGGAGTGCTGTGGTTCCATCAAGAAGCAGGACCCGGCGTTTCCGCTGAGTTGATGGTGGGGGGAGGGATGCATTTTTCTTGGGCAAAACGACTGGTGAATGGTTGATTGATGGGTGGATGCTTCATTTGTTTGAACGCCTGTAATGTAAGAATATATAACGCTACCGAATAATGAACATTTCATCAGGTCCTGATCAGGTTATCTAAGATTTGCAATGTCCTGAGATGCAGGATGACAACCAGTCATTTGATGCCCGATCATGTTTTGAGGGCTTTTTCAGACTACATTTTGAGAACTGAAGATCTGAATACTCCATGTGAATACAGAGGCACGCAAAGTTGATCGGATATACCTCTTATGTCATTAGCTGGTATTAAATGTAGTGGTTTTGATTTTTCGTGCCCATTTGCTGGGCGCAAAATGCTTACAAGTCATGGAAATGGACCGGTCGTATCAAGGCTGCCAGGGCTCAGGGACTGGCAGGCAGCAAGTACCGAAATATCACGCCAAGAACCATGGATGTTGAGTTTCACTCCTGGCCATACCCAACCCCCAGCCCAAATGTCCTGACAGGATGCAAGAACCCAGTCCAAAACTGCAGAAGTATGGCTCAAGGCCCGAGTGAATTCTGGGATACCTGCAATGATGAGGCCCATTCTGCTCACACCCCAAGGGAACTTGTGTGATCTTGTGTGTAGTTCTAATCACATCGCATCATCCTACGTATATATATATATATGTGTAACTTTAAACATATTTAATTATATGACCTGTTATAACTTAGACTTATAACAGATACAAAGTATATTTCAATATTAAACAAATATAACATCCTACAACTTTTCATTGATACGTTTTAATATATATATATATATGCATAATAAACACACTTAGTGACATTATTACGTAGGTATATGGGATTGCTGGTCCATGCAATGTTCAAGTCTTCGCCAAATGTTTGGTACACCTGAGGCCTTCTTATGTCCTCCATGGCCCCGTTCGCATCTATCCATTGAATGAATCCATTGAAATGGCATTTCAGTAGCCTGAATGCTCAGAAGGGTCATTTTGCTGTAAAAAACATACATATTCCCATCCCATTTCCCGTATTCTTGTTGGTGAAATCCCAATAAATCCCATATGTTTGGTAGTTAGACCACTCTGAAGCACGGCTCGCTGGAACGTTCCTCACGGCCCAAGGTCCCAGGCAGGCCCGAATGGGCGACCAAGATTTTTCAACGAGGGGCGAACAAAAAGTGCAATTATTTCAAGGGGTAAACAAAACCATCATGAAAAATCATGAAATCATCAATGTGGCATATTTTTTGTTTTTTGGTGATTATACATTGATTATACTTACTAGACCTGTTGTGGCCTTTTGTATATCGTCCGTTTTTGAAGGGCTGATGATTTTTGAGACAAATCCGGATATTAACACATATATATATAATATAATATAATTATATATATATAAGATATGTTTAAAGTGATAGGGGATTTGCCAAGGATTTTTAGTTCAAACGAGCAGTTGAGGAGGGGTCACAGTTTCACAGTTCCAGACACAGTTGCACAGTCTTCCGAAGCCATGGTGCATGCTGGGTATGGCCGTCTATCGACCGCCTCAGATGATGAGGCCCGAAACTTACCCACTCCTCAAACCAGGAGAGAGGCTCAGAACGCACATTCCGATTGGATCGATAGGACCGATAGGATCCTGGACAGGACTGCGGGAATCGTGAGATCTCCGGAAAGCAAGCTGCTCCTTGTGTGCTTAATCCTAGCTTTCGCTGTGGTCGTGGCGGTTCAGAACCTCCAAATCATCAATGACCCGCCTCACCCAGAAATTTTCCACCAATGGCTGCCGTGGCTCTTTGGGCCAGGCCTCACACCTGCGGCCTTGGTCTGGTCTGCTTGGACCCAGGCCATCATCCTCCCACTGCTTGGTGCCCTTGGCACGGCATCAATTATCCTGCGCTTGGGGAGGTCAAAGAGTTTCATGATGGAAATTACGAGCCTCCTGGCGTCCCTCTGTATTTTCTATCAACTCTCGCAGTGGGAGCACTTGAGAGGCCTTAGGGAGCCTCCCACTGAAGAGCTGCAGCGCAGGGCGATTGCATGGTCTTGGAGCGGCCACACACTTCCCACCTATTTGGCGGCTCTGAAGCTTGTTCTTCTTGGGTGGTGGAGGGCGGGATTATCTTCTTTTTGCAGGGGGTGGTTTTGGTCCGGCTTGCTTGCCTGGCTGGAACTGGGATGGGCTTCTTGGATCGGGACGGCAGTTGCGATTGGCAGCTGTGCATTTCTGATCCTTGCCACGGGGTTGCTGCAGGCATGGGCATTTTGGGCAGCGGCAGAAGAAGCATCCCAATTTAGAGAGATTCGGAAGAACTGGGGAGGGGAAGCTGATCGAGAGGTCGTCTTTCTGCGATGTGCTGCAGTTCTTAGCATTTGGCATTCAGTCAATCTGCCACTAGCGGAGTATTTCTGTGTTCCTATGATTGGCTTTGCCTGGTACCTCGCTTTGGATGCCTTTTTCATGTTTGTCACGATGCACGTGCTTGGATATGATGCCGGCACTCTGAAAGCACCAGGCAACATGGCAAGACTCCAGTGCAAGCGAATCGCTTTCCCAGGGAAGGTGAACCCAGAAGTGAAGGATTGCATCGTAAGCTTCCCCGGCAAGTATAGCAAAGACCCTTGGCATCCCTTGGCCATACTCTGAGTTTCCCGTGATTTCTTCGAAAATGCGATGTATGATGCCATAATTTCATTCCAGGGAGTCCTGAAATTTGAATGCAACTCCTGTCCTTTGACTCTGATGTGCTTGTCAAGTCATGCAAGACGTGTGTTACAAGTGTTTTACTTTTGGGATATTTTGGGTGGCGCAGAGGGCGACAGTGAGGCTGCATGTGGCACGACCAACATTTGTGGTCCCAGCATAGGTCGGCAGAGAGCAGCAGCATGACGTTTATTGAGACACTCAGTGGTCCTTGATCCAAGTGCAACCCAAGCTAGGCACAAAACATATCTTGAAATCAAAATTGAAGTTTCTAAAAAACAATGTTTTTCTCCTGAGGTCCTCATCAAGCGCTCAGTAAATCACCAAAAAATCTTTATTACATACTCCAAAAACATCGACTTGTTCCTGAAACTACCATGAAATCCTGATTTTATATTCGAAACAAACTTATTTTTGAACCAGGGGCATCATCATCATCACCACCACCACCATCATCATCATCACCACCAGAATTTCATTAGTTGAACAATTGTAGTTTTCTGCTAAACTGTCGAACCATCATCATTTAATTTTTATTCTCCTAGCATCATTTTGAAACCTTCATTAACGCATCACGTTTTGAATGGCACATTCAAATTTGATGATATTTTCATTTCCTGCGCACAAAGTTTTCAGAATCAGGAAGACGTGAGGAAATGATGATTTTGGTGATGTTACAGAATGAGGATTAAATGAGGATTAAAAGGGGAAACCAAAATATGATGCTTTCCAATTTGTGGCGCCCAGAAATTCTCATAACTTTAGACCAGAACGGCATGCAGACAGTATTTGTTACACATGCAAGAAGTGGATATTAAGCCTGGAAAAGGGATATTTACGCAATCAGTTTCAGTACATGGAGCACACTAAGGTCAAGTCCTGATAATTTGCACATTTTTATACTTTGATGTTGTGTAACATGGGGGGGTTTGGGGGGATAGGGTGAAGAAGAGGGGCACTAGCGTCTAGATTAGATCAGCTAGAGCGTCTTCCCAGACAGCTAACACACCTTTGAAACTCGGCCAACAGCCAGCTGGTGCTGTGTCCACAGGATTACTCTATCTCTCTTGAGCCTTGACAGCGTATGTAAATGTGCGCAATACTCATGCTATATCCACATAAGATCCAAGCCAAAACAAAAACACATGCACAAATTCAAAGGCAATGAGTAGAGCACTGCGCTTTGTCGTACCCAATTCAGAATAAGAGTTTTAGCCTGTAACTATACGACACGTTAGCTAATCAGCAAACCACCAAGAGTGTATACCATCCTTGTGAAAAAGAAATGAGCTCACAGAAAAACTGTACTGAGCAAAATCCTGCTGTGTTATCTTCTCCTTTTAGAAGTATACACTCACCTGTTCCTTGGTCTCCATGCCCACGATGTGGAAGATGAGGAACCACCTTGACCAGTGTCATCGTGTACCCATTCACCAGAACCATCCCAGTTGCTCCAAGACTCGTCCAGTAATGGACCGTCACCAAAACCCTTTCTCTTGTTCGACTTTTGAATAGCCTTCCTCCTCTCTTTCCGTTCTTGCTTCTTTTGATGAGGAATATAGGAACGGTTTTCTCTCCATTCCATATCAGAAGGTTTCAAGTGAACAAGAATTGGATTGTGAGCATCCTTGTCTGTTGGTGCAACCATGAAGATGTTGTGGTCACTGGTTAAGCACGTTTCATTGACAGTAAACGTAGACTCTCCAACATGGTCCATGTGATCTTGATCATCAAAATAACATCTTCCTCATATTCCAATGTCGATGAAAAAGAATAAATCCAAAATAAATAAATAAACTGTCGCAATAGGGTTCTCGGCTTAGCCCTTCGCCATGTCGAAGAAATAGAATAAATACCAGATTGAGGCAACCGTGAAGGAATAAACTCATTGTGTTTGGGGTTCTTGGCTGCTTAGCCCCATGCCATCTCGGCCAAGAATAGAAATGATGAAACTGCAGGTACGTCTGGATGGCCAATCCAAATATCCCACTCTGTGACCTAGCTTCGTTGAACTGGGTCAGTCACAGAGTGCCCAGTTCCCTTGCATCAAGCCCTGTAACTACATACAGAAGAACATGGAGAAGTTTTACATCTCTTCAGATGGTACACACACACACACACTAGACAAAATTGGATCTTTATATCGATCCGTTGAGACCTGAATCCCTTCACATGCAGAACAAACGAGAAAACAGTAATCCTAGGAGGGATCATCGAATGAGATGTTGTACTCCGAAAAGACCATCATGTCCAAATATGCCATCGAGTAAATGTCCAGACCAGAATAAAAGATAAATGTAGTCAATAGGGTTCTCGGCTTAGCCCTGTGCCATGTCCAGCGAATAGTTCCAAATCAATATAGTGAATAATGAAGCCAAAGAAAACCGAATTTGGTGTACTTGGGGTTCTTGGCTTAGCCCCCTGCCATTGCAGTGAAAAATGCAGGTACGCATGGCTGATCAGGCCATGTCTCACCAGGGTAACCAGAGTGTCTTCGTTGGTGGTAGACTCTGGACCCTGCTACCACCCCCTGCAATACCAAGCCGACTTCGACCAGCAAAGAAACGATCCAGCGAGAAAAAAGTAGCTAGAACCTAGGAAGTTTTACATCTTTACAGATGTTACACACTGTGGGGTAATGGTGAGTAGAAAGTGTGAATGATGTCATAGTCGTCGCCTGATTTCCTGAGTTGCCTGGCAGTAGATTTTCAGCGGACACGGATTCGCGATCGAAGAAACAACGCACAGCTCATAAACAAAAACAGAAAGTCAACAGTTGAAACTATAGCAGGTACGTAGATCAGGCGTCCCTGATCTATATCCTTACCACATGTCACCCAGCTTCCTTGGCAGAGAAAGTGACATGGGTATCTCTGCTATAACCATAGCCCTATAACCTTTTTCCCCTGCGTTTGAGAATTTTACAAGCGCAATAAACAGAACTAAAACCGTTTGTTATAACGGTGTACACACACACAATGGCCCCGAAATGGGGCAAAACCGCAAACCGCCTAGTTTTTACCTAAGAAAACTGACCTAAAGGGCCTGCCTAAGAGAATGAATGCCTGGCCTAAAAGAACCTGATGACGATGACGAGTGATGTGAAAAGCAAAAAATTAAACCGTGTTCTATAAGTCGTAAATCCTAACATTAAAGAAAATGCGTATGCAATTGCTGTACGTCTGAGTTCAAAATGAAAACGATGCACAAGACTGTACAATAAAGCCTTTCAGCCAAGACCTCATTTGTAATTCCATCTCATCGTCAAGAACAAATAATCGCACAGGTATGTTGGCAAGTGGAAATTCTGAGTTCCGGAACTGCAGAATGAGCTTGAGTTGTTGCTGAGCTCTTGACCGAAAAGGTTCCCACAAGTTTCGGCTCAATCTGCATAACAAAATTCCCTGCTGTATCAAAACATGATTGATTCATCAAAACTAAACCGTTTGCTATATAGTAACCTAAGGAGCCTGCCTAAGAGAGTGAATACATGGCCTAAACAGAACCTGATGACGATGATGAGTGATGTGAGAAATAAAACGTTGAACCATGTTCTATACCTAGTAAAACTGACCTAAGGAGCCTGCCTAAGAGAATGAATACATGGCCTCAAAAGAACCTGATGACGATGACGAGTGATGTGAGAAACAAAACGTTGAACCATGTTCTATACCTGGTAAAACAAACCTAAGGAGCCTGCCTAAGAGAATGAATACATGGCCTAAAAAGAACCTGATGACGATGACGAGTGAGGTGAAAATGCAATTGAGACTCCGACCAGACCAAAAAGCACTTGTATTGCACCCGTGGTGCTGGGAACTTCGACTTATGTCTGCTTTGTCCGAACTGGACGAAACTTCTGCCTTATGGCTTCTTCGCCTTATGGCTGCTTCGATTGGATTTTACAGTGTAAAATCTTGACTTCGTCATATGACGCTTGAAATGCACTCGAAGTGCATACGGCTTCGGAGATTCATACTCCACTCTGAATACGGGAAAATGCCCGCTCATGACTTTTTGATTGGTCGAAACCAACCGACGGTGCGACCAAGTCAGGTCAAACACCCAAGACACACTGTGGGGTAATGGTGAGTAGAAAGTGTGAATGATGTCATAGTCGTCGCCTGATTTCCTGAGTTGCCTGGCAGTAGATTTTCAGCGGACACGGATTCGCGATCGAAGAAACAACGCGCAGCTCATAAACAAAAACAGAAAGTCAACAGTTGAAACTATAGCAGGTACGTAGATCAGGCGTCCCTGATCTATATCCTTACCACATGTCACCCAGCTTCGTTGGCAGAGAAAGTGACATGGGTATCTCTGCTATAACCATAGCCCTATAACCTTTTTCCCCTGCGTTTGAGACTTGTACAAGCGCAATAAACAGAACTAAAACCGTTTGTTATAACGGTGTACACACACACACCCTGCCGAGGCAGGGTCCTTTTTTGGAAGAGGCACTGTGATGAAATCCAACGGATCTATAACGCCGGTGTGCCCTCATTCGTCCCTGAAGTGCTCTCAGTGGTTAACGTCTGGAGAGCACGCGACAGGACCTGCAACTCCTCCAAGGGCATTCGAGTACGGATCTCACTGGCGGCATTGACAGGATTGAAGACTCGGGTATGAAGCTCTGTCGCCAAGGCCGTGGTAGTCAAAGAGGTACCTGAAGTCTGCTGTGAAGGCGTTGGGACCCAGGTAGTACCATAATGGAACGGGTTGTCCATATGCCTTGTGGGAACACCGAAGAAGCCGCGCCAATAGTCCGAAGTGTGGCGTGCAAAAGTGTCGTCCCCAGTCAGGTAGAAGAAGTAGGTTTCCGGCTCACGTGTGCGGACATAGCCATGATGGTCCTTTTCCATGACCCAAAGTTCCCTGGTGTGGTCGTAGTACTGAAAGATTTTGACGTGGACTTCATGGACGGTGCGTTGATTTCGAAGTAAAAAAGTACAACATACACCAGGTTCGGACCACTTTTGGAAGTTGAGATGTCAAAAAAGTGCACGCCGTTGTGGCGCGAAGCACATTTCGAAGTCAAAATGTACAAAGCACACCAGGTTCGGACCACTTTTGGAAGTTGAGATGTCGAAAAAGTGCACGCCGTTGTGGCGCGAAGCACATTTCGAAGTCAACATGTGCAAAACACTTCAGCTTCGGACCACTTTTGGAAGTTGAGATGTCGAAAAAGTGCACGCCGTTGTGGCGCGAAGCACATTTCGAAGTCAACATGTGCAAAACACTTCAGCTTCGGAGCATTTTTAGAAGTTGCGATGTCGAAAAAGTGCATGCCGTTGTGGCGCGAAGCACATTTCGAAGTCAAAATGTACAAAGCACACCAGGTTCGGACCACTTTTGGAATTTGAGATGTCGAAAAAGTGCACGCCGTTGTGGCGCGAAGCACATTTCGAAGTCAACATGTGCAAAACACTTCAGCTTCGGACCACTTTTGGAAGTTGAGATGTCGAAAAAGTGCACGCCGTTGTGGCGCGAAGCACATTTCGAAGTCAACATGTGCAAAACACTTCAGCTTCGGAGCATTTTTAGAAGTTGCGATGTCGAAAAAGTGCATGCCGTTGTGGCGCGAAGCACATTTCGAAGTCAAAATGTTAAAAGCACCACATGTTCGCACCGCTTTTGGACGTTCAGATGTCGTTTCGCATGGCAGGCGCAAGGGACTGTGGACCTTGTCAAAAAGTGCGCAAAACGTGAGGGTTTTGTGACATTTTCAACTACAACCACCACTACACCACACTACACTCCAATACACTACACTACAACTATAACTACAACTATAACTACAACTGCACCTTCACTACATTCCACTACACTACACCCCACTACACTCCACTACACTACACTGCACTCAATTACACTCAATTACACTCAATTACACTACACTACACTCCACTACACTACACTACATTACACTACACTACACTACATTACACTACACTACATTACACTACCTTCCACTACACTTCACTACATTACACTACACTACACTCCACTACAGTACAACTACAACTACAAAACTACACTCCATTACACTCCACTACACTCCACTACACTAAATTACACTCCACTACACTACATTACACTACACTACATTCCACTACACTCTGCTACATTACACTACAGTACACTACACTACATTACACTGAATGACACTGCACCACAGATAGACAGGTAGACAGATAGACAGATAGATAGATAGACAGATAGACAGGTAGACAGCTAGACAGATAGACAGATGAAAGAGAGAGAGAGATAGATAGATAGATAGATAGATGGATAGATAGATAGATAGATAGATAGATAGATAGATAGATAGATAGGTTTACTTAGATGAAATAGAGCGAGAGAGATAGATCGATCGATAGATAGATAGATAGATAGGTAGGTAGGTAGGTAGGTAGGTAGATAATCAGAGAAAGAGAGAGAAAGAGAGGAGACCTCAAGCACCTTTCGGTCCATCAGTGGATTCGCTCTGCCATCCGTCTCTCCTATAGGTTTCCTATTTTTGAAACTTCCGCCACCGCCTTGTGCGGTACTACTGGTATATAATGTTTTATGTTAATGGATCCTTATGGGAGTCTTGAAATGCACTTGGCTCATGTACCTTGCAACATCTTGTAAATCAAGAATGAGATACCATTTTTCTCATGGCTGCCTTCAAAACCATTTTTCTCATACCAATACGTGCACAGGACAAATAAGCCTTCTCTGGAGTAAGTTCGAATTGGAATCCAAGGTTTCTCATTTGTGGAAGTGACATCAACAATGGGACATCACCTTTTTCGACAATGTCGAAATCTGTGAACTGAGTGTTTCATCCATTGTCATACATGAATATCACAAGTTTCCCAGTGCACTTGGATTGTTTGGAATTTGCAAAGAAGAATCTCGAACTTGTTGGCTGAATTTCATACCAGAGTCCACTGTTGGGATGTGAGTCAACATAACTGCAAAAAGCTTCAACTGCTCGTCGAGAGCCCATAGCTCGGGTGCATCCAAGGTCAAGGATACATACAGTTGGTGGTGCAGAATTGTCTGAGTGAAAAGCTAATCCATTCTCACATGCCAGATCAGGTTGTATGATATGAAATGAAAAAGCACTCTTCTGCTCATCTGATTCCGCTGTCTCTTCAGAGCGTTCAAGATGAGATGGTATCTCTGTCTTCTCAGAGTATCCATATGAAAACAATGATGTGCCTTTTGCCAACGGCTTCCATGAAGCCTCACCAGTCACCACGTTGTAAACCAACTTCTCTGTGCACTGGTGCTGGTCGACGTTGTGAACAAAGTGTGCCAAGACCTCCAACCAAGGCAGGAAACTTCTTGGATACTTCTCTGTTCTGCTGTGCCACTTCATCACGTTGGTTCTGTCCTCCCCGACGTGTGCGTCGATGGTACTCTTGCTCTTCATAGCTGGCTGTCAAAACATCCACACGTGCTGGTTCAGTCTCTGCACATGCATAGAAACCATGACCAGAGCTTGATGCTGCTGAAGAGTAGTGAGCTTGTTGTTTCTGTTGGTGCTGTATGGCAGGAGTCGATGAGGTCTGAGGTTGAACATAGTTGGACTTACCTTTGCCATCTCGTGGTTCTCCTCCTTTGCCATCATCATCCTTGCCTTTCTTGCCTTTCTTTCCTTTTCCTTTTCATTTTCCTTTTGTCTGGAAATATCCATACTCATCAAGATAGTACAGATCATCATAGGCCCAATAGCCTCATTCCAGTTCTCATCATCGGCCCAATAGCCTTCATGAGATTCATTCTACTCATCTCCTTCATTCCATTCTTCGTCATAACCTTCTTCACTCGCCATGTGAGAGCGGCCATTTCTTCTTCCTTTTTCCTCGGCCTTTTCCTTCCCTTGATCTGAAGAACCTTCGTCCTCCTTTGCCTTTCCTTTTCCTTTTCTTCTTCCTTTACCTTTACCTTGTCTGGTCTGTCTTCCTTGGAACCTTCTCTGATACCATGTGTAGTCAGCGTCATCGTAAACCCAGAAAACATCTTCTAAAGCATCTTTTGCGCCATCTTCATCATCTTCGGCCCAATAGCCGTCATTTCCTTCTAGTTCACCTTCTTCCAGAACGAGGAAAGATCTTCTCTGTCCAATGCCAGAGGGTTGCATCATAGGATTGTCTACTGCTGTTTTTGTAGTGCAAAACGTGTCCAGGAAAAGATCTGCACATTGTACTGGTCAAGTGTTCGTCCACGATGTGTCATGGTACTTGTGAGCGCGTTCCTCTGATTTTGCGTCAAATCTGCTAGACTTACAAAGATCAATGCTAGCAAGTTGTCACCCAAGGGAAAAGCCATTCTCTGTTGTGCTCTTCTGTTTCGGTTGAGTTGTCTGAATGCTGCCAATGCATGTTCATCTGTCCATGGTACATTGACTTGTGATTCTTGTCCTGGTTGTGCTGCTGCAACTTGTGCGAGGTCAGCTTGGCGTTCTTCATGTTGTTGACGACGTTGTGCAACAAATTCAATTGCATCCGGACTGGTGGTCAGCAAATCTGGTAATAGATCCTTCCAAGACTCAATAAGTAAGTCTGTTTCCAGTTAGTTGAAATCTAGTCATCAATTTTTGCAAATCCATGGTGCCTCTGTTGTACTTCGATGTAAGAACACGTTTTGGGCACCCTTGATGATATGAGGTTGCAAGAATCTTTATGATGTCACACCAATCATCGATTGCATCTTCAAAGGCAAAGAAAGTTGTTCGTCCATCGTATGCAGGGGCTACCTTCGTGGTCATCTGCTGTGTCATTTGGATTGAGGGTTGTTGGGGTGCTCGTCTCATTGCATACGAGTCATATTGATTCCATCCATCTGCCTCGACGATGTCGAAGTCATCATCATCATAGCCATGGCGTGCCATATTGGGCTCTACCTGGAGCTCACCTTCAATGAAGGATCACAGCTCCGCTACCACTTGAAGAGGGGCACTATATAGCGTCTAGATTAGATCAGCTTAGAGCGTCTTCCCAGACAGCTAACACACCTTTGAAACTCGGCCAACAGCCAGTTGGTGCGGTGTCAGGATTACTCTATATCTCTCTTGAGCCTTGACAGCGTATGTAAATGTGCTCAATACTCATGCTATATCCACAGAGGATCCAAGCCAGAACAAAAACATAGGGTGGGTGGGGGTGGGTTGGGGGGCAATAACGGAATAACGTTCTTGATAGTACGCTCCCTATGGTTCATGTACATCGACATGCATACGTGTTGCTACGCTGTGCACTCTTCGTGGACGTGGTGCAAGTTTCATATGTGGCCTTGTAAAGACACGCATCAATGGCTTGCCCAACTCAGAGTGGTTCTGCGCGGCATATCAATATGTATGGCGAAGGAAGAATGTCGACAAGAACTTGTTCCGGCTTTTGGCCACGAAACTTAAAAATGAAAGATGCCGGAAATGTTGACCAAACAAAAAGTTTTGGAGATGATGGGGCGCACAATTCCCTGCAAATAGCAGTAAAAACTTGTTTTTGGCGCCGTCTTCATGGCATGTCGTGGCCATTTTCAAACTATCGATGTTCATAAAACATTTGTGGCTCGCAGAAATTCTCATTATAGTAGATACTCCAGAAGGGCCCACAGGCTAGCGGACACTTGACAAGTGAGTGCCATTTTCTGAAGCGATTGCTGTTGGCTCAGCCGTGGCTGCCACCCAGAACACCCCAAAGTCAAAATTGTACACTGGGCAGGCTGTCGAGCTACGTACATTATACTTTAAATTAGCTTAAACTTTAAGTCTGTACGCACAAAACAACCCCATGGATGCCATCACCCTGCTTTAATTTTGAAATGTTTTGAAATTTCTGGAAGATGCCGATCACATGCTGGAGCGCTAAGGAGTGGGATAGTGCAGTAAAAGCTTTACAGAAACAGTCAGGCCTCTGCAGCTTGGCTTGTGTTTTCCTGACCGATGCGAAGAGCGGGCTCGGTGGCCACGCTGAAAATCCTGAAGAACCTGAAGATCCTGAAGGATGCAGAAGTTGTTTCTGTCAAGCACTTTATGGGAAAGTGGATCCAGCAGCATACCTCAGCACAGTCGAGGAGGAGGTGACGGAACAAGAGCTGCTGTTCAAGAAGGAAGATGCTGAGGTGATGCGCCAGGTTCTCTGCATTCGGCAAGAAGAAGAAAGTGATGCTTATTGGGACGCGAGGAAGACAAGAGCACTCCTGGAAGCGAAGGACATATGCAAGGCAAACCGCTACCGCGCGCCCTGGGGGTGCCGATGGTTTGCCGACTGGAAGGAGAACGTGGACAAAGCCCATCAGCAAGGGCAAACTCTTCACGTTTTCTACTGTGAAGGGAAAGTGGGATGTGGTAAAGTGGCTTGGAAGGACAGGGCAGGGTTTGACAAAAATCATTGAATTGCAAAATTTGCCAATTGTTTTTTGTTGCCTGTACATGTGCCACTTTGCAGAAACATCCACAGCCACCAGAAGAAACAATTAACCCAAAAAAAACATCCAACAAAATTACTTCACTTCGAATGATCCCCACCATGGCATTTTTACATTTTCTTACTGGCAAATCTTCTGGCATTCTATCTGACATATCTTCTGGCATTCTATCTGGCATTCTATCTGGCATATCTTCTGGCATATGTTCTGGCATATCTTCTGGCATTCTATCTGGCAAATCTTCTGGCATTCTATCTGGCATATGTTCTGGCAAATCTTCTGACATTCTATCTGGCATATGTTCTGGCATATCTTCTGGCATTCTATCTGGCAAATCTTCTGACATTCTATCTGGCATATCTTCTGGCATTCTATCTGACATATCTTCTGGCATTCTATCTGGCAAATCTTCTGGCATTCTATCTGGCATATCTTCTGGCATTCTATCTGGCATATCTTCTGGCATTCTATCTGGCATATCTTCTGGCATTCTATCTGGCATATCTTCTGGCATTCTATCTGGCATATCTTCTGGCATATCTTCTGGCATATATGGCATTCTATCTTCTTCTGGCATTCTATCTGGCACATATCTGGGCATTCTATCTGGCATATCTTCTGGCATTCTATCTGGCATAGGTCCGGCAGTGCCCACTGGGATCTGGAGCTCGCGGTTGAGGTCCGGCAGTGCCCACTGCGATCTGGAAGTCGCGGTTGAGGTCCGGCAGTGCCCACTGCGATCTGGAAGTCGCGGTTGAGGTCCGGCAGTGCCCACTGCGACCTGGAAGTCGCGGTTGAGGTCCGGCAGTGCCCACTGGGATCTGGAGCTCGCGGTGGAGGCCCGGCAGTGCCCACTGGGATCTGGAGCTCGCGGTGGAGGTCCGGCTGTGCCCACTGGGATCTGGACTGGGAGGAGGAGGCGGCGGGTGAGGAGGCGGAGGAGGAGAACAGCTCTGATAAAATCTAACAACCCTCACCTGGCAGGTGGGGAATCAAGCAAGTACGAAATCTAAAGCCATCACTGAAGCACTTTGTGGTACATTGTAGATATTTTTTGTTTTGGCCATTTTGCCCCAACCAGAATCGTAAACCTTGCAGGACCTTAATGATGAGACGACACTGCGGGAACTTCGTGATGGCACAGGCCTGGGCAAGTCGCAAACCGCAGAAGTCGCATGGTTAGATCGCTTGGGCATCCCCTACGTTGAGCACGATGTGGGCGACTTCTACAGTATTCTATATTCAACTCTGGACCCTTGGCATCCCTTGGCCATACTCTGAGTTTCCCGTGATTTCTTCGAAAATGCGATGTATGATGCCATAATTTCATTCCAGGGAGTCCTGAAATTTGAATGCAACTCCTGTCCTTTGACTCTGATGTGCTTGTCAAGTCATGCAAGACGTGTGTTACAAGTGTTTTACTTTTGGGATATTTTGGGTGGCGCAGAGGGCGACATTGAGGCTGCATGTGGCACGACCAACATTTGTGGTCCCAGCATAGGTCGGCAGAGAGCAGCAGCATGACGTTTATTGAGACACTCAGTGGTCCTTGATCCAAATGCAACCCAAGCTAGGCAAAAAACATATCTTGAAATCAAAATTGAAGTTTCTAAAAAAAACAATAGTTTTTCTCCTGAGGTCCTCATCAAGCACTCAGTAAATCACCAAAAAATCTTTATTACATACTCCAAAAACATCGACTTGTTCCTGAAACTACCATGAAACCCTGATTTTATCTTCGAAACAAACTTATTTTTGAACCAGGGGCATCATCATCACCACCACCACCACCATCAATAATTTCATTAGTTGAACAATTGTAGTTTCCAGGCCTTCTAGAGCACCAAGCTCCAAAAAGAGCCGGGCTCCATATCCAGCTCTATATTTTTTTGAAAACATGGGAAAGACAAGCCTTTCTGCAAAGTTTATTCTTGCCTCCAGGACGATTCAACGGTCGAGGTCGAGGAATCTGGGATTACCTTGCGGATGACGAAGTCCATATATGACAAGTTCTGCCCACGGGTCGAGTTGCTTGAAGACTGGGCTGATCTGAGGGATTCCCGTTCATTGCTGGAGGTATCTCACTTGCAGATGGAGATATAGGAAATGCAGCAATTAAACATAATTAAACTATGGTGAATTTGCAACTTCCCTTCTCCTCAGGTGATGCCATCTACTCACACGGTGCTAAGTCCACTGCTCAGACTTACGCCTGAAGACGTGGATTTTCCAACGCCGATAAAGGCGGACTGATTTACGCAGTGAGTTTGTTTGATGTCATTCGGCGCACAATGTTGAAATCCAACACATCCCTTGCCTGTTGCTTGGGACATGGGTGCACAAGTGTCCTTCTTGCATGTTGTGTTCAGTTTCGTTTTCATTTCCTTCACACCAGCATGTTTGTGCTGAAACTTCTTTGCGCTCAAACGTCCAAAAGCATTGACAGGTGGAAGTGCCCACATGTAGTGGCGCTGAGAGTGCATGGCGATCAACTGCTACCGGGTGGGAGAACGTGGAGATCAGTTTCTTATCTATTGTGATGCAGGAGGGTGGATAGCTTTGAGCTACGGGGCGGCTAAGGAGGTCTAAAAACCTTGTAGCTTGCCATGTTGCCGTTCTACTCTGACTTTTTCTGGGGCATGCTTGAATCTCCCTGCCCGCAAAGGATTTAAAACCCTGTCAGTGTAAAGATCGAGGGCTGTATACAGTTTTGCTCTACAAGTTGCTTAGCGTAGAGGCACGGTTTAACCGCTGCTAGGTTTAAAAGGCATTTTGTGCGAAACTCGTTGGTTATGGAAACACGATCGTGTAGAAACTGCTTGGACAGAAGCATGGGAAAAGAAGGACACAAGGAAATGGGAAGACGAGAGTGGCTGAAGAAGACAAGAGTGGCTGAAGGGTGCAAGGAAGAAATGGGGTAGGGCAGCGGCAGCTGAGCAAATCCCTGCCAGAGGCAAAGAACCATTATAAGTACATACAGCAGCGGAAATGCTCGTTAGCTGACGCGCGGGCCACTGACTTAAGCCTGTTTCCTTTTCCGTTTGACCAAGTTTCAAGCGTGAAATACTGAAATTCGATCTAGGGTTTCTAAAGCAAGTTGCCAGCAGTCCCTTCCAGTTCCTTGAGGAAGAAAGCCAAGACATCTGTTCCACTGGGGTTTTGATTCTTGCTTGGTACTAGTATTGCTATGTTTCTCCATGCATATTTTCCCATAACTGTTTAAAACAAATGAAGCAGTGACGCATGAAGTACCATTTCTGCCTTTTTACTTGTTTCGCCTTTGTTTTAACCTTCATGCCTTAATTGTGACTTCTTGCTAGTGGCGGCTGTCGCGCTTTTGTGGCATGTGTCATCTAAGGTTTTGTCCGTGGTTGCGCTATCCTGGTTCTGAGGCGATTGGGAAGGGTCAAGCTTCACTCAATTTTCACTAACAATTGTGACGAGGGCGGATGATGATTGTGATATTTATGTTCAACCCATGCCATGCCACGGGTTTTGCCGCATTCAAGTGCGCAAGAAATTTCCATCCCGCAATGGTCAATGCGCTCCCCTAATAAGTTGGTGGGGCGCCCTAAGCAATCTAATCATAAGGCGCAGAGGGCCGCCCCATGCCGCCCCGTTCTGAGGAATTTCTGCGATGTAGTTGTCAGCGGCCGATGCGCTATCAGAGCCATGGGTTTCATAAAGCTCGACCAGCCTGTGGCGAAGCTGGCGGTGATGCACGTCGGATGCGAGGGATGCAGATCTGTTCTGAATCAATATTGTTCCTGGACCCTGAATAGGTCGATTCACATGCTTGCTTTTGAACTCCACTTTGAAGAACTGTTTGGTCCAACCGGTTTTTTTGCATCCGTTGTTCAAACTTGCTTTCTGCTTAACACTGTAGGCAACGACGATGAGGAATTGCGAGGATTCCGCGAGTGCGGCCCCACTGCTAGACTTGGCACCTATAACCATGATGAAAACCTGAACATCAAGGTCCCCGGCGCTGGATGTGTCCAGCTGAAAATGCGGTTCCACCGTTTTCCGCTAGTTTCGCCCAAGTTGGACACTCCATCGAAGATATCCTTTAGTGTTGAGACCCTTGACTTTAAGCTAACGTGTGCATGTGTTTCTTTTGCGTTGCTTTGTGTTTTCAATTTCCAAAAACTTGCTTGCATGCCGTGGCAAAGGATTGACGGAGACACTTTTGACTTTGAAGAGCTAGAGCTGAAACCACGTCCACCGAACACACAGGCACACCGGTGGCTGGGTGCAGCCTAGAGGATATCCATGTCAGTGAGTGCTGTCCATGGAGTTGGTTGTGTATCCCGTCAGTTGCAGCAAGAACTCTTTTCACTCTTTTCCGTCAATTGCTCCTTTATTTGGAAATTCAATTGAATTCATGCAAAGACTGGGCGTCTTACACCTCCAGGCCCCGAGATTTCGGCGCCGCCCAAACTGCGGTTATAAGCCGAATTCAGGTCCATCTGCCCCAGAGGCGCAGCAGTAGTTGGCAAATGAAAACGCAAGCGCAGCCCTGATAGGAACATCCAGAGAGGTTGGGTTGTTTCAAGTCTTGGGAATCCCAATTTATCTCAGACCAAATATTATTCTGTCAAGGCCGGACATTCCGACAATGATTTCTTGCATACTGCAGGTTGGTCCAAGCCATGCTGCGTCAAGTTCTGCCAGTGGCCATGCATCTTCGCCGCTGTTGCAGTCTGTTTGGACCTCAGGCTTTAGGAGTTGAAGGCCCATCTCCGAGCATTTCCTTGTGCGACAATGGTGCGTAAGTATGTTTAGTGTGATTCTTTTGGTATATTCGTTGATGGGCGGCTTGTTGGATCAAACAACTCTATCAAATGGAAAGCAAGGAACTATTCCCCAATAACACCATCGTAGACAGTTTGATTATAGATTCATAGATGCGTTTTAATCTTGCTGGGTTGCTTAACCTTCAGAGAATTGCTCTTTCTGTTTTAATACTTGCGCTTCTCAGGTACCTTTTATTATAAATATAAATAGAAGGCTGGGGTCTTTTACATTTCGAGGCCCCAAGACGGCGCCATTCAGCTCCAGTGGCCCAGGAGGCCCAGGAGGCCGAGAAAAAGTTTTTAGGTGGCCTTGATAGGAACATCAGAGATTCAAAGAGTCAAGTCCTGTCATGTTGGAGGCAACTTAGTTCCTTTAAGGCCGGAGAAGCCAACTCTGATTTTTTTTGGCTGCACTGGAGGTGGGTCCCACCAGTGCTGTGTCAACTGCTGGCCCGACTTCTGCTGGCAATAGACCTTCGCTGCAGTCTGTTTGAACCTCAGGCTTTGGCAGTTGCATGGTCATTTCCTCAGCATTTATTGTATCAAGGTGATGGTAGCCGTACCATTTTGCGACGGTGGTCAGTATAAAATGTTGTAAATGGGTTGATTCTTTGGGTATATATGTTGATGGACAGCTTGTTGGATAAACCGCTGTACTAAGTGTGAAGCACAAAACTCTTCCACAATATCCTAAATGTAGACCATGTGATCATACACGTGTTGTCTTGTTGCTGGGTTGCTGAACCTTCAGCCAACTTGTTCTTTCTGTTTTAATTTTTAATAGTTGCGTTTTTCAACCAATCTTGACGGTGCCCGCTTTTGCTGAAATCGTCAATTCTCAGGTACAAGCATCACAGCCTGAAGGGCATTTGCTTCTAAGTGGCCGTTTCAAGAGCGACCGCATTTTTACCGCCGAGCAGACTCTCAACTGAGATTTCTTTTAGAATCAGAATGTAAGTAATACTCGAAGTTTTCCCTCTGCAATCTTCGCATGCATTCAGAATTTCGCATCGCCTTAAAACATGTTCTGGCTGTTGGTTTTTCCACTGGCATGAAGATGAGTGCCCAATATATTCATGTGGGTCACGCCTCACCGATGAGGATCATGGGCTACATGAGGATGGTGGGGGCCCGGTTGGCGGTTCGTGGCGTGCCGACCTTCATGGTTGAGGCAAAGCCCGGCCAAAGTTTCGCTGAGCTAACGCGCATGGGTCTGGGCCGTGCCAAAGGCATGGTGGCTTTTTGTACAGCAGAATACGGAGCTGGATATGAGACGTTTCGTGAGCTGGAATATGCTCATGACAAAGAGTTGCCTCTCATTCCAATTAGACTTTGTGAAGTGTGGCCGCCGGCGCCAACTGATAATGAAAGAGGGACCTGGCAGAACAAACTGGTGTTCACAAACGGTCTCGTGTACATAGACGACCAGCGGATGCAGAATGCTGAAGGTGTTGCTGATCAGATTGCTGATTCTGTCGAGCACTTAGGAGTTTTCTGAGATGAGAGCAATAAGATTGGAAAACAGCGCCTGAAAGCGGTATCTTTGTGCGCCGGACGCACAGGCAGCGTTTCAAATTGTTGCCAAAATTGGGAAATGATTTCTTTTCAAATGCCATAGTACAATCAATTTTCTTAATTAACCCCAATGACGACCCTGCGGCACTTGCAGTGCAACAAAATCATGCTTGGAGATCTGGGGGTATCCAGCAACAGGCCTTGTCACTTGAAGGTCAGGACTATAGGCTATAGGTTTTTAATGTTGAAATTTCCCGTCCCTTGAAGACTTTCCAACGCTTCAAAAATCATCTTTGATTTCACAGGGTTTTTGTCACTTTTGGCATGTATCACAGATCACAGGATCATTTCGGCAATTTTTTGACAGTGATCACAACACATCCCTGCGCCTTGCCAGGCAGCCATCGGTTTCTTGAGCCAGGCGGGATTTCTCAACCTTTCAGGAGGTAAATCGCAGCTGAGAGAAGGGGTGATTTTTTTCAACATCGACCCAAGAGCTCCACTTTGCCTGGCTCCAGTGGACGCTACATGAGGCGTTTTGGTTGAGACATTCGTATATATGAGCAGCGCAGAACAAATATGTTCCCGTATTTGAAAGTTGCAACAAAGCACTGGGAGGATGCACTTTCCAAACCTTGTCAAGATCGCTGTGGAGAATTAGTGCCTAAATCTTGGTACAATCAAGTTTGTCAATCACGTACTGCAAAGATATTTGTTTTTTCACGTGGCGGACTTTGAGAGTGCTGCCATGGCGAACAGCGACCGCGCCGACCCGGACACCTGGTCCCTGCCCTCCGAATCCGGAGTGAAGCACGGCGTCGCGACGCCTACGCTGATTGGCTTGGAAGATGCGACGCCCAAGGAGATCCAACTTGACGAGGCTGGAATTGAAACGGAAATAGAGGCAGAATTGTTGCGAGGAGTCAGCTTGAGAATTGCCCTGTCTGGTTTCGGTGTCTCGGATGTCATACTTTCAAACCTTTGTATGACTTGTTCAGCCTTATAGTTGTTTTTCATTGTTTTTCTGCTTCTGTTGGGATCTGTTCCGAAGAAGGCTCAACAAACAATTTCCAGGCAAGCATTGGAAACTTCCATCTTTGACCAGCATGTACGAGATCCAGCAAAAGAGCGCCTACGATTTGAGCTTCGAAGTGGCAGCATTTCATCATTTCTTGAGCCACGATTGGCAGCTTGGACCACAACAGCTGCTGACATTTTGAATAATTTTGTAGGACCAAGTGACTGCTAACTCAGATGAATGATTGTCAGCTTTTGAGTGGAAAATATTGGGGCGCAAGCCTTCCCCATCATTCCGGTATCATTCCGGTCAACTACTGATTGCTATTCAAGATGTAGATTTCACAGAGGAACTCCGTGTGCGTTTTTGATGTTTCCCAAATTACTTGGACGGTTCCTAATGAACTACATCTTTGGTGCATCTTTTCGGTTGGGGCAGAGATGTTTTCACCAAAGTTTGGGAGGAAAACCAGCCGCTGGGCCAAGTATTGGTCAATCCTGATCCTCTTCAACCTCCGTGCAGCTACCATTGCCACTTTTCTGGCGGCCGTCTTGGTGGGTTTCTACATTGGGCCAGAAGAAAGGGGTGTTGTTTCATGGTTTTTGGGATTTTCTTATACCATCCTGAATGTTTGACAATTAAGAAATGTCTGTATTTTGGTGGCTAGAGAATACTTGCAGGGATCAGCTAGAGGATATCAGATGGGCGCTCTAGCTGCCCCCAGGTATGGTCGCTGCGCGATTCCTGCCGTGGCTGGTCTTCGTTTTCTTCCTCTGCTTCTGGCAGAGTCTGCGCAGCGTTTTCAGACGACCCTTGGTCGTGTTCGTTGACAAACTCTGCATCGCACAGCACGACCCGGCACTCAAAGCCAAGGGCATCCGGGGGCTGTCGACTTTCCTGGACAGATCGGAAGAGCTGACGATCTTGTGGTCCTCCAGATACTTCACCCGTTGCTTGGATGAATTTGCTGCATGTTGGCAAGTACTAGAACGGTTTTTGTATAGCCAACACTGGGGAACAGAGGCCGTTTTGTGGCCGTGAAGGGTGGAATCTATGTGAAGAGGGTGTGCAAGGAGCTCCTGTCAGTTTGTTTCTCCCAAGAAGATGGGTGAGAAAACGCATGTCACTTTATCCAGGAAACCAGGGTACAAAATGTAGTCTTACTTTGTTGTATATAATATACGTAACATTGCTCAGACTGTGGCTTGCGTTCCGGGCTCATCAGTTTTCATTTTCTTTTCCATCTCATAAAAGGCGGTTCCTGCGAACAGTTTGAACCTGACATGGTCGTGCAAGTACTCCACCACTTCTGGAGATCCAAGCTGCAGCGAACACAATCCAGCGGCGTCCGATAAGACCACACCGTCCCATTCAACGAAGAAAAACATATTTCCGACTGACGAAAGGAGGTCGAAGTCAACCAGTCAACCTGTAGGGCCTGCAATCCCACCCCATTGTTCAGTGCTGCGATATTTTGTAAACATTAGTTGTCGCCTTGGTGGCACAATTTCACAAGCATGAGTCTGCAGCATGAGTCTACTAACATCAGACCTGCGCTATAAAATTACTCAATGCGTGGAACAGATCACAGTACGGAAGTTGTGTTGAAAAGAGAGGATGCACTGAGAACCGTTTGAAAGAAATGTGGGTTTGTCCAAGATGCTTCCGTCAAATATGGCAACTTGGCAATGGCTATCCATGGCTATCCGGGCTATCCGCCACCCACCAACAAACTCCCCATGACGTTTATCATTTGTTCAACCATCTTGGGCCGTGCGTTTGGGCCCCCTTGCCATTGCTTGGGTCGAAATTCGGCCATTCTCAGGTCTGTGGTGTGTCTATGAACTGGCCACTTTCCTCCGTCATGGCCAAGCACAACAGGTGAAGCTGTTTCCCGTGGCTATGGCGCGGGTCTTGTTGGTCATTGCCAGCTCCAGTGTCCCTGTGACTTGGATTCAACTCATTTTGGCCATTGAAACAGCTCCAGCCAAACTTGGATAAACTTGGATTCTGAGGCGAGAATCCTGGATGATTTCAACTACATTTTGGGATCTTCCGATATTTTCGCGGCTGTCATCCAATTTGCTTGTATCTTGCTGGTGCAACCGCTGATTCTTTACCTGTTGTTGGGTGTGATGGCCGACGTCCAGAACCTCGAGAAACAGTTCAAGGAATTCTCCATCCAAAAGTCCCAATGTTTCTGCTGCACCAGTGATCATCGACATCCTGACACCGGTGAGACATTGATGTGCGACCGGAAGTTCGTCTATGAAGCTGTCAGAACCTGGTATGCAGCGGGGGCTGATGGAGACAATGGAGATTCAATACATTTTGAGAAATTTGACCAAGTCGTGCGAACCAGCTTGCGTAGCAGCGTCTTGGAAGGTGCTGAAACCGTGTTCCTTCCCTTCAAAATCATGTTTTGCCTGGCAGTTGTGAATCAAGCACCAGCTGTTGTTCAGATGATGACGTGGTCAGAGGCTGATATGCTGCGGTATGGTGTTCCTCCAGTGTCTGAAACAAGTTTCGCGCGATCTGTTTGGAGGGTAATCGCTTGGGTCTGCTTTGTTTGGATGAAACAATTGGTCTTCATCTTAGTCGCCCGGATTTTGCTGAAGACGATTCTCTTGAAATTTTCCACTGGTTCCAGATGTTCCACAAAACATTCCGATGATTAGGGGACGTAGTTGGAGAATCTTGTGAGATTTTCCAGATTTTCTTGGGAGAACTCCCAGGTCGATGCCGGCTTTTTATTTCGAATCTGCAAGTGGAGCTCCCACTTGCTGCGGATGTCCCGGCTGAAAGTGACACTGCTGGTGTCACCACTGCTGGTGTTGGTATCTGTTATTTACATCACCGCCATTGCCACATCATATGGAGATTTCATCGTTCCTTTTCACATCATGTTCGAATGGCTTCCAGTTGTGACAGCTGGATGGTGGTTGTTTATATCATGCTTGTACAGAGTGGGTCCCTTCAGCTGAAACCTTGGCTGTTTCGCCAAACCAAGATCCGGCCAAGCCGATCCGATGGCGAAAAGCACGGTTGATACATGTTGATACTAGTTACTTACTGCTGGTGTCGAGTTTCAAGTTTCAAACATATCATACCGCAATGGAATCTCAATTGACGAAGCTGGGTTGAAGCCACCAAGCACTCGGATCACTTGGTAAGGGAGAATGTAGAACACTAATGTAAGAGAGTGCACATGGTCCTTTTTTGTATGTTTGATTTTCAACAATATGCGCATATAAAGCAATGAAACTGGATGTGTTTTTAGTGTTTGAATCCCCAGCTGGTCCTCACTTATGTTCATTTTTGCGAGTTGGAATCCCAAATGTCATTGCGCAATCTTGTTGGTTAAATCATGTTAAATCATTATTGCCAGTGAAATCGCCATTGTTACCAGGTGAGAAGCTGGAGGGCATGCAAGATGCCTTGAAAGGCTTCCAAGCAGCCAATGGAGTGCTGTGGTTCCATCAAGAAGCAGGACCCGGCGTTTCCGCTGAGTTGATGGTGGGGGGAGGGATGCATTTTTCTTGGGCAAAACGACTGATGAATGGTTGATTGATGGGGTGGATGCTTCATTTGTTTGAACGCCTGTAATGTAAGAATATATACGCTACCGAATAATGAACATTTCATCAGGTCCTGATCAGGTTATCTAAGATTTGCAATGTCCTGAGATGCAGGATGACAACCAGTCATTTGATGCCCGATCATGTTTTGAGGGCTTTTTCAGACTACATTTTGAAAACTGAAGATCTGAATACTCCATGTGAATACAGAGGCACGCAAAGTTGATCGGATTTACCTCTTATGTCATTAGCTGGTATTAAATGTAGTGGTTTTGATTTTTCGTGCCCATTTGCTGGGCGCAAAATGCTTACAAGTCATGGAAATGGACCGGTCGTATCAAGGCTGCCAGAGCTTAGGGACTGGCAGGCAGCAAGTACCGAAATATCACGCCAAGAACCATGGACGTCGAGACGGCCATGCTTTACGGCCGAGTTTACAACCTGGAGTTTCACTCATGGCCATACCCAACCCCCAGCCCAAATGTCTTGACAGGATGCAAGAACCCAGTCCAAAACTGCAGAAGTATGGCTCAAGGCCCGAGTGAATTCTGGGATACCTGCAATGATGAGGCCCATTCTGCTCACACCCCAAGGGAACTTGTGTGATCTTGTGTGCAGTTCTAATCACATCGCATCATACTACACTTTAAACATATTTAATTATATGACATGTTAAAACTTAGACTTGTAAGAGAAACAAAGTATATTTTCAATATTAAACATATATAACATCCTACAACTTTTTATTGATACGTTTTAATATATATATATACATATGCATAATAAACACACTTAGTGACATAATTACGTAGGTATATGGGATTGCTGGTCCATGCAATGTTCAAGTCTTCGCCAAATGTTTGGTACACCTGAGGCCTTCTTACGTCCTCCATGGCCCCGTTCGCATCCATCCATTGAATGAATCCATTGAAATGGCATTTCAGTAGCCTGAATGCTCAGAAGGGTCATTTTGCTGTAAACAAAACATACATATTCCCATCATATTTCCCGTATTCTTGTTGGTGAAATCCCAATAAATCCCATATGTTTGGTAGTTAGACCACTCTGAAGCACGGCTCGCTGGAACGCTCCTCGCGGCCCAAGGTCTCAGGCAGGCCCGAATGGGCGACCAAGATTTTTCAACGATGGGCGAACAAAAAGTGCCATTATTTCAAGGAGTAAACAAAACCATCATGAAAAATCATGAAATCATCAATGTGGCCTATTGTATCCTATTTTTTTTGTTTTTTGGCGATTATACATTGATTATACTTACTAGACCTGTTGTGGCCTTTTGTATATCGTCCGTTTTTGAAGGGCTGACAATTTTTGAGACAAATCCGGATATTGACATATATAAGAGATATAATATATATATATATATAAATAAGATGTTTAAAGTGATAGGGGATTTGCCAAGGATTTTTAGTTCAAACGAGCAGTTGAGGAGGGGTCACATTTTCACAGTTCCAGACACAGTTTCACAGTCTTCCGAAGCCATGGCGGATGCTGAGTATAGCCTTCGATTTCAATCGACCACCTATGGCCATCTATCGATCACCTCAGATGATGAGGCCCGAAACCTAGCCACTCCTCAAACCTGGAGAGAGGCTCGGATCCACAGCGTCCATAGCATCCTTGCCAAAACCGTGGGAATCGTGAGATCTCTGGAATGCCAGCTGCTCCTTGTATGCTTAGTCCTAGCTTGGGCTGTGTTGGTGGTGGTGAAGAACTTCCAACTCATCAATGACCCGCCTCACCCAGAAATTGTCCACCAATGGCGGCCGTGGTTTTCTGGGCCAGGCCTCACACCTGAGGCCTTGGTCTGGTCTGCTTGGACCCAGGCCATCATCCTCCCACTCCTTGGTTACCTTGGCACGGCATCCTTTATCCTGCGCTTGGGAAGTTCAAAGAGTCTCTGGATGGAAATTCGGAGCCTTGTGGCGTCCCTCTTGATTTTCTTTCTACTCTCGCTGTGGGACTATCTGATCTTTAGAGGCCCCAACGAGCGTCCCACTGAAGAGCTGAAGCGCAAGATTATTGAACTTTCTTGGACCGGCCACGTATGTCTCCCCAGTTTGACGGCTAAGAAGCTTACTCTTCTTGGGAGGACGGGACTATCTACTCTTTTGGGCCTTGTGATGTGGTTCTTTTGGTTTTTGCTTGCCGTGATGCTGTCTTGGATCGGGGCGGCAGTTGCGATTGGCAGCTGGCCATTTCTGATCCTTGCCACGGGGTTGCAGGCATGGGCATTCTGGGCGGCGGCAGAAGAAGCATCCCAATTGCGAGAGATTCGGAAGAACTGGGGAGGGGAAGTTGATCGAGAGGTCTTCTTTCTCCGATGTGCTGCAGTTCTTAGCATTTGGCATTCGGTCTATATGCCACTAGCGGGGTATTTCTGTGTTCCTATCATTGGCTTTGCCTGGTACCTCGCTTTGGATGCCTTTTTCATGTTTGTCACGATGCACGTACTTGGGTATGAGGCCGGCACTCTGAAAGATCTGAAAGCACCAGGCAACATGGCAAGACTCCAGTGCAAGCGAATCGCTTTCCCAGGGAAGGTGAACCCAGAAGTGAAGGATTGCATCGTAAGCTTCCCCGGCAAGTATAGCAAAGACCCTTGGCATCCCTGGCCATACTCTGAGTTTCCCGTGATTTCCTCGAAAATGCGATGTATGATGCCATATAATTTCATTCCAGGGAGTCCTGAAATTTGAATGCAGCTCCTGTCCTTTGACTCTGATGTGCTTGTCAAGTCATGCAAGACGTTTGTTACAAGTGTTTTATTTTTGGGATGTTTTGGGTGGCGCAGAGGGCGACAGAGGCTGCATGTGGCACGACCAACATTTGTGGTTCCAGCATAGGTCGGCAGGGAGCAGCAGCATGATGTTTCTTGAGACACGCAGTGGTCCTTGATCCAAGTGCAACCCAAGCTAGGCAAAAAACATATCTTGAAATCAGAATTGAAGTTTCTAAAAAACAATGTTTTTCTCCTGAGGTCCTCATCAAGTGCTCAGTAAATCACCGAAAAATCTTTATTACATCCTCCAAAAACATCGAATTGTTCCTGAAACTACCATGAAATCCTGATTTTATCTTCAAAAATAACTTATTTTTGAACCAGGGGTATCATCATCATCATCACCATCACCATCATCATCATCATCATCACCATCATCATTATCATGATCATGATCATGATCATGATCATGATCATGATCATCATCATCATGATCATCATCATCATCATGATCATCATCATCACCATCAAAACTTCATTCGTTGAACATTTGTAGTTTTCTGCTAAACTGTCGAACCATCATCATTTAATTTTTAATTATTTTCCTAGCATCATTTTGAAACCTTCATTAACGCATCACGTTTTGAATGGCACATTCAAATTTGATGACATTTTCATTACCTGCGCACAGAAGTTTTCAGAATCAGGACTACGTGAGGAAATGATGCTTTTGGTGATGTTCCAGAATGAGGATTAAATGAGGATTAAAAGGGGAAACCAAAATATGATGCTTTCCAATTTGTGGCCCGCAGAAATTCTCATAACTTTAGATGAGAACGGCATGCAGGCAGTATTTGTTACACATGCAAGATGTGGATAGGAAATCTACGCAATCAGTTCAGTACATGGAGCACAATAAGGTCAAGTCCTGATAATTTGCACATGTGTAGCATGGGGGGGCTTGGGGGGATAGGGTGAAGAGGGGCACTAGCGTCTAGATTAGATCAGCTAGAGCGTCTTCCCAGACAGCTAACTATACTCGGCCAATAGCCAGTTGGTGCGGTGTCCGCATGATTGCTCTATATCTCTCTTGAGCCTTGACAGCGTCTGTAAATGCTCAATACTCATGCTATATCCACATAGGAGCCAAGCCAAAACAAAAACACATGCACAAATTCAAAGGCGATGGGTAGAGCACTGCGCTTTGTCGTACCCAATTCAGAATAAGAGTTTTAGCCTGTAACTATACTACACGTTGGCTAATCAGCAAACCACCAAGAGTGCATATATACCATCTTTGTGAAAAAGAAATGAGCTCACAGAAAAACTGTACTGAGCAAAATCATGCTGTGTTATCTTCTCCTTTTAGAAGTATAGACTCACCTGTTCCTTGGTCTCCATGCGCACGATGTGGAAGATGAGGAACCACCTTGACCAGTGTCATCTTGTACCCATTCGCCAGAACCATCCCAGTTGCTCCAAGACTCGTCCAGTAATTGACCGTCACCAAAACCATTTCTCTCGTTCGACTTTTGAATAGCCTTCCTCCTCTCTTTTCGTTCTTGCTTCTTTTGATGAGGAATATAGGAACGCATTTCTCTCCATTCCATATCAGAAGGTTTCAAGTGAACAAGAACTGGATTGTGAGCATCCTTGTCTGTAGGTGCAACGTGAAGATGTTGTTGTCACTGGTTAAACTCTCCAACATGGTCCATGTGATCTTGATCATCAAAATAACTAGCATCTTCCTCATATTCCAATCTTGCATGTCCCCACTCACAAACAGACATCATGCAACAATCACCTGAATCCTCTGTCTTCTTCGCAAGTTTAGCAGTGTATGCATCAGTTGTAATTCCATCGAGGTGAGTTGAACTACAGGATATAAAGTGCTTTCTTGACTTCTTATTGGTGGTGATACCCCGTAGTTCTTGCGTCTTGACTGTGTCGCCGTGTTCATCATTCTGTTGATCCAGTATTGTAAGAGACTGCATTCGTACGTGGGAACTCCTCCAGCTTTCGGAGTTGCTAAGTAGCATGCTTTGTTCCGTGTTCCCGTCGCCTGCAATCACGTCAGCCTGAAAGCGAGCGCACTCAAAAGCCAGGCGTGCAAGTATCTCTCCACAAATGCCTGGAGGCTTGGAAATGCTGTCTTGTTGTCTTGTCCGGCGTGATACACACACACAGACGCAGACACACAGAGACACACAGAGACACACAGAGACACACAGAGACACACAGAGAGGCACGGAGACACACGGAGACACACAGAGACACACAGAGACACACAGAGACACACGGAGACACACAGAGACACAGAGACACACAGAGACACACAGAGACACACAGAGACACACAGAGACACACAGAGACACACAGAGACACACAGAGACACACAGAGACACACAGAGACACACAGAGACACACAGAGACACACACATACACACACTTGACAGACCGTTTGTCGTCTATGAGTCACTTCTTGTTTCCCATCAGGGGGATCTGGATATTCCAGTTTAAGGCCTTTTTCAGCAAAGAATTGAAACTGTGCCGTTCGGAGGAACTGCAAAACCGGATTCTGTTGTGTACATACTGATGAAAAACAGTCTCTCACTGAAACGGAATGAAATGACGAAAAAACTGCAGGTACGTGGAGTTGATCAGACTCCATATCCTAGTCTACTGCATGGAGCTTCGTTGGCGACAGCCATGCAGCGACTCTGTCGCCCCCTGCTGCTAATGATGAATCAAAACTTTGACGTCGGAGTGATTCTGATTAAAGCCCTTTGGTACAGGGGTTGCCCCCACACACGAAGGCCGTATATCGCAAAAAGTATGGAACATCTGAATCAGGAAAAGCGGAAAAAACGGCACACTGAAATATATATACAGGAAAATCGAGATTGGATCTGTAGCCATGGGTAGCGGTAATAAATACGGTTGGACTGAGCAGAGGTACAGCAGAATTGAACAAAAAGATCGTTCTCAAAGTGACAACAAAGAGTACCGCTTCAGCAGAAAAACCGGATTGTCAGGATCGTTGGCGTGCAACTGCGCTTTTTACAGTTGCAGCGCTTGGTATACATCCGCTTGGTTGAACCCTTTCTGCTGGCAAAGGCTTGCCAATACCAAATCCTGGGGATAGGTATATTTTCGAATTAGGTGGGCCCGGCTCGCTCAATTTGAGGCGGAGAGATCCCGCAGAAACAAGGTCCCGAATTTGACGAACGTCTGGTTGACGAAATTTTACAGTGCGGTCGAAAATATTGACATCAAAACCTAGTAGCACGTCGTCATCAACGGTTTCGAGTTCAACAGGGGGACCATAGAAGTCCAAATCACAGAAAGTTTTCAGCGCATCATTGTCAAAATGGTGCGCGGAGCATATCAAAAATCGATTGTCTGCATATCGTACAGAAAAAAGGGGTAGAGCTGGTTGTCGTAGAATTTCAGCAAAAGATTCCGACCAACTTCTTTCGATCACTGTGACGGCCAAATTGGAAAGTGACGGGGAAATCTGGCTGCAAATACCTGCTCCTCGAATCTGTCGCCAAAAACAGCCGAGAGCTGAAAAAATATGTGAATCGAGACTGGACTGTACAATCTCAAAAATGTCACTGACGTAAAGATATCTAGTTTGAAACGCAGTGCGTTTCATGGTTCCCGAAAATGTGGGCTGGACAGGGTCACCTCGGGCAGAAAGGTCCACTGAAATAGTCACCAAATTGCGATCATTGTCAAAATGTTTTTCATGTGCCAGCATCCATTGATCCAAAAGCTGATGAACGGCATCAAGCAAACGAGTTTGGGGAACAGAATTGAAAAACCCCACCAGATCATCATTGACACAGGTCAGAGAAATGGAATCATCAGTAGTTTCAAAATAATTGTGTATCTTTCTCCAAATCTGAGGGATACTGAGTTGGCCAAGATCCTGCGGCCACGTCTGTTTGCATATAGAATCCAAGGCTCGGCTAGTTGCTTTCAGCAATGTGGCCTGGAAACTCTGGAAATAACTAATGAGCGTGCGACCTTTGGTCCATTGCTTTTTCTTTTGAAAAAAACAAAGCCGTACGGAAGCTGGGCATTTCTGCAGAAACCCCACTTATATCTAGGGAGGAGACGCGGAGAGAAAGCTTCGTGGATCCGTTGTTGTGCCACGGCTTCTGTAATCTGGAGTGTTTCAAAAAGAGCGGGATCATTCCAGGTAATGTCAACATCGTATTAATAACCCCCCCCCTCCCCCCCCC